CTCTACGACGGTCCATCCCCTAGAGTTGGTGGGACGGCAGGTAGGGTGCAGTTGGCGTGCTCTAGCGGCGTGTAGCTCGATGCCCAAGGCAAGATGCATGGGGGGGGTGTCGAAGGACATCAGGTGGGATGTGGGATAACCGCGCCTTGCCACATGAAGGCTCGGGACACCCCTAATTCTAGTGCAAAAGGTTGTTGATGTAGACTGTGGTAGGTCAAGGTGGGGGGTATTGGAGGGGGTGTGACCCGAGCATGGTTGCGCTGACGGAGCAGGGCGTAGCGAGCGAACCGCTTCGATTCGTGCGGCGCGCGAGGTGTCCCAACACACTCGAAGAGTGGCGAAATAATACTTTTTGGGGTGGTTGGCGGGGGGGCAGGGTGGGGAGGTTCGAAATGCAGGCCGGCTCTCAGGGTTCGGGTCTTACGCGTACGTGGGTCGCAAGGCTGAAAAAAACCGGACCGTCATAGAGATATGGCCAATGAATCCAAACTCGGTCTCGTGGTGCCATGTGCATTGAAAACAATGTAACACATGCCCTGAAGGGTCACTCGACCGCTGGGGTGGCTTGGAGCCCCATGGATCCGCCAATTTCGAAGCGGGGCTAGGGCAGGATATCTCTATGACGGTCCAACCCCCAGAATTGGTGGGACGACAGGTAGGGTGCAGTTGGCGTGCTGTAGCGGCGTGTAGCTCGATGGCCAAGGCAAGATGCATGGTGGGGATGACGAAGGACATCAGGTGGGATGTGGGACTACCGCGCCTTGCCACATGGAGGCTCGGCACACCCCTAATTCTAGTGCAAAAGGTTGTTGATGTAGACTGTGGTAGGTGGGGGCAATGGAGGGGGTATGCCCCGAGCATGGTTGCGCTGACGGAACATGGCGTAGCGAGCGAACCGCTTCGATTCGTGCGGCGTGCGAGGTGTCCCAACACACTAGAAGAGTGGCGGAATAATACTTTTGGGGTGGTTGGTGGGGGGGCAGGGTGGGGAGGTTCGAAATGCAGGCCAACTCTCAGGGATCGGGTGCAAGAAGCAGTGCAGCAGCCAAGGGGCGAACGCGCCCGGCAGACATAGAACGAACTCAAGTTATGAATAACAGATGAGATATACGTACCCTGACTGACACAACCAGAGTTGCCGAAGATGATACACCGAAAGTCACACGTGACAGTACGAACATGTCACAGTGCCAATTCCATCACACCACCTCATCTGAGGTGGCTCTACAGCTTGTGCAAGCCACCACCCTAGCTACTAGAGTTTACATCTAATGAGAATGCTAAGTCTCGTAGCTAGAGAATCACAAGGTTACAGAAATGAAGAGAGGGTGCTGAACACATACACTGCTAGCGAGCTCAGTCCACACGGGTTAGATTCCCAATTCCAATTCCTGCCGGCTAGTGGTCAGCAGCAAGAAACTGTGCCGCCTGTCTGCTTGTGGAAATAGATAAACCAAGGAAACATCAATCGCCTGTCGGTTTAGCAAAGGTAGATAAAGCCACGATCCTGCGATCTCCGCGTCTTAAGGATAACAATGAGGCTTGTGATGTAGAATGTTGCCCGCTAGTGGTCAAAAGAAATGGTCCAAATGTATCGGACAAAAGAAGATTCCCGCTTCAGCCAGTGGTCGAAACACAAAGCAAATGCCCTGCCTGTCCGTTTAGATATTAGGATGGACCAGAAGAATAACCCTCGTAGGAGTCGCTGCTAGCACCACCAGACCCAGAGTCGTAGCGGTTTCCAGAATCGGAGTGGTCTGTCTCGCCCTCGTAAGCACCACCAGAGTCGTGCTCCTCGTGATCGTCGGAGTGATTGGTGTAGGACTCATCGTCGTTGCCATCGCCCACTGGGTCCACGCGCTCAGAGGAGAGCGAAGCATTCCCAGTAGAAATAAATGTTGGCGGTAAAAGTTCTGCTGTTGCAGCGTCGAAAAGACCGCCAGAGTCCCCCTCCTGGAAGCCCGTGTCCAGAGAGGAGTGCTGTACCAATTGTGAGGTAGAAAATTCCGGAGAAGCCAAGTGGCCATGAATCCCCTGCTCCCCCTCCAAATCGTCTTCAAACTCATCGTAGTACCCAAGTGGGTATTCCGATTCATCTTCGCTCTCACTATCTCCGTAAACTGCATGAATGTTCTGGTCAGATTCAACTATAGAACGCGAATCCGCAGAATGATAGAAGTGACGCTCGACACGAACAGGAGGAGCCTGTCGTGTGAGCCTGCGCGTACTGGAGGAGCTAGTCGCGGGTCTCGTGGTCGTTATCTGTGACGAAACATATCGGGTGGCCAAAATCGCGTACCCGTCGCCAACGCCCTTCTCGCACAGAAAGATACAGCCGGAATCAAAGACAAATCGGACGCAACACCACCAACTGTTGCGTCCCTTGAAACAATGAGATTCAAAATAGTTGGCTCGAAAGCCGCTGGAGGCTGCGGTAAAATCTGTGAAGCACTCCGAAAATGAGCGAGCGCTCTAGCTTGGGTTTGGCACAAAGAAATGAGCTGAGCGCGTTTGGAAATAGAAACCTTCCCCATTTAATCGTCACACGATAACAAAAGAGCAAGAAGCTCCCCATCGGACAAAACATCTGCGAGAGCCATCGCGGAAAAATGATCCGTCAAAGAAAGCGAACGCGCGAATGAAAATGCCGATACCACTCTGCCGTAAATACCCGAAACTGCCGGACCGTCCAAGCGAAAGCGAGAATCAGATTCCGTAGGTCGCGATAAAGATGGCTAAGCTCAAAATAAAGATAGAGCGAACACGAAATAAAAATATATATATATATATAATAATAAAAACATTTACGCTAGCAAAGGGGACAAAGTCCTGAGAGTGCGGTATCCCTGCAAAGCAGGCTAGTGAAAACACCAGGGGCTACTCCCTCTGCTATAGCGCGCCCACAAAGGGGCTCAGCCCACTTTTCAGCAGGGTGACATCTAGAGAAAAAGCTAAGTGCTAGGCAATAAAAAACTCTAGAAGATGGAGAAGCAGCCATGGCCGGGTGAGTGGAGGGGTGGCTGAATCTGAGCGGTGGGGAGGGAAGTCGAAATAAAATTCACGCTAAAGTCACAATACGCAAGCGTTAAGTGGGTCCATAAACTGTTAGAGATCGCGAGCAGTCATCAGATGTTGGTACGTCATCGAAGCTGCCGAATCGCGATCTGTAATTATATCAGAAACTGAATGAGTACCACTGAACGCGGGCCGATGTCATCAAAGACTTCGCGTAGCTCAGTTGGTAGAGCGACCGTGATCGAATCGGGAGGTCATGGGTTCGAGTCCCGTCGCGGATACCATTTTCGCCGCGATGGATTACGCTCGACCCATCTCAAACAGTGAAAATCTCATCACTATTTATAGATCCTAAGATTGGTATTCTCGTAAAGGCTCACAGATTCGGTGTCCGATGTAACGGCGTGTTGGCACGTTGTGGCCCCCGCTGATGACGTGGATGATTCGGGCTGCATCCCAAGAACTGCCATTCAGCTCATAGTAAGCTGCCACGTCATCACATCGACCGAACTGTGATCAAGAACTGGAACACGAATCGTCAGGTGACGATCTGATTTTCAAAGGTTGGAGATATGTTAGAGATCGCGAGCAGTCATCCGATGTTGGTACGTCATCGAAGCTGCCGAATCGCGATCTGTGATTATATCAAAAAGTGAATGAGTACCACTGAACGCGGGCCGATGTCATCAAAGACTTCGCGTAGCTCACTACTCAGTTGGTAGAGCGACCGTGATCGAATCGGGAGGTCATGGGTTCGAGTCCCGTCGCGGATACCATTTTCGCCGCGATGGATTACGCTCGACCCATTTCAAACAGTGAAAAATCTCATCACTATTTATAGATCCTAAGATAACCTGCAAGAAGCAGTGCAGCAGCCACGAGGGGAGAACGCTCCCGGCAGACATAGAACGAACTCACGATATGAATAACATATGAGATATGTACCCTAAGCAGAGTCGCCGAAGATGATGCGACACCGGAAGTGACACGTGACAATACGAACATGTCACAGTGCCAATTCTAGCATCGGGTCTTTCGCGTACGTGGGTCGCAAGGCTGAAGAAAACTGGACCGTCATAGAGTTAAAAGAACGTGTCTACACCCAATGTGCAAAGTTTAGGCTTGTCTGCCCCCGATGTAGATTAAAATGAGATATAGGCCCCCATGTGGAGACAATTAAGATGAGATGCCGGTCTGCCCCCGATGTCGATTTAAATGATGTGGGATATATAGTGCTGACTATATATTGAGGTGGTGAAAACTCAGAATGCTTACACTTAAGATAACATAAGAAGTGAAGTTAGATTGAGTGTCGCTCGGCTTTACGGCTTAAGCCCGAAACCCTGAACCTGTGACAGCCGTACTGTACGGAGTACTAGTACAGACAGAGGACTGTGACACATACGGGGTGTCACATCCAGCACACCACCCTGTACTATTACGGAGGAAGAGTTAGGGTGGAACAGGCAGTGTTAGGTGAAACAAAACACACCATCTCAAGCGGTGGAAACAAATTTCTAGTGGGGGCCTGTGCTCTTGGCCAGGGCGGTCCCAAATCTCTAGCTAGCACTACACACTGAAGGCTGTTGTGCCCGTGATACAGATCTAGTTGTGCTACTAGGCTTCCGACAGCAACTCTAGCCACCTTGAGAGTGGTCCACAAAGTAGAGTTCACAGAGATTGAAGTTGTTGTAGTTCCCACATTGAAAGTTCAGACTGTAGATGCCGAAGCCGTCAGAGTCCAGATTGAAGATTTTGTAGAAGTCAGCTGGTCCAGTGTCCAGAAGGTCGGGGTCAGGGAAGTAGTCCACTGTACCATTCTGATAACCAGAGCAGGCACCGTACACCACCGACGGTGGAGCAATCTCCACATCACTAAGTGCAGTGGCGGTGACGGTGTCGATCATGGCGATGCTCACACACAGAAACAAAGCAGGGAGTGTTGCTGCCGTGAGGAATGTGCCGATTGAAGGTGCCCGTACACCACCAACCCGTGGAGCGGGTGGTGGGACGGCATCATGCAAGTCCCCGTCGTCGGACTCCGTGTCAGTCACGCTGGCCGAATCATGCGTGGAAGAAATGTACGGAGGCAGGGGGTTGAAGGATTTAAGTGAGACCTGCGGCTCAGGCTCGAAGAAGCCCAATTTAACAGACATGTTGTCCATAAAGGATTGTTCGAAGGGCGGCTCACCGTCAACGAACTGCTTTGGGTAAATCACCGCGTCGCTCTCGGTCTCGATCGCCACCTCCGACCCATGCTCCACGACGGCATCGCCGATCATGGAGGGTGTGGCCGAACCGAAGTGCACCATTGGAAAGTGCTGAGTGTCGGATTCAGCACCACCAGCCACCTGCCTGAGCTCGCGGAGAGCGGTGCGCGCCTCGTGCACGCGGGTAGCAAGGAGTGAGGGTTGGGTGGGCGTCAACCCCGCGTACTGTGCTCGGAGTCCCACGTCAAAGTCCTCGGAGAACGTGAAGGGCTCCTCGTCCTGCCGAACCAAGGGATGATCATGTTGTGCACAGAGTCGAGCAAAGGCGGTGTCGTCCTCAGTGTCGAACGCGGTCTGGAAGGCGGACACGAGACCGTCGGCGTCGTCGGCTTGCTCAATCACGCACTTGTCGCACTCGATGTCGGCGGTGGGACAATTCGCGGAGTCATGCCAAAACCCCGGAGGGCAACGGACACACTCCGGAACGAAGGCTTTGGAGAGGACGTGGAAGGAGACGGAGTGCATGCCGTAGTTCTTCTTGTCGCCGTTGTGGCGTCGGACGCCTTGCGGCCAATTCCCGTCCTTGGGAAGGGGCGAAGCGGCGAAGCGGTGCTTCAAATCACGTCTTCGGCCGTGAAACTTCCCATCCACCCGACGGTTCTGGCGGTCACGCCAGGAGGAGGGTGGAAAATGCACACCTGGCTTGCCAGTAGGCTTGCCCGTAGTCGGAGCCGGCCACCTAGTCGTCGTCTCGTCGTGCGCGTCCTCGTCGGAGAGCGTCGCAAGAACCTTGTTGGCGGCGTCGATGTGGAACTGAAACTCCCGAATCAGGGCCTTCACGTCAACGTCGGACGGTTGGCCAGAATACAGGATGTTCTTGTCCGTGAGGGGCACGTGCTTCCGCTTGCCGGCGTTGGCGTCCCAAATCTCGAGGACGTGGGCGTAGATGTCCTCAAGGTCCACCTTGGCCAACTCAACGTCGAGCCGAAGCGGTGTGATGACCTTGTCGTAGAATTCGGTGTCGAGTGAAGCCAGAAGCTGTTTCTTCGCCATCATCTCGTCGAGAGGTCCAGAAGGTCCGTTGCCAATAGCCGTAAGGCAGGCGTCAAAGTCCTTGATAAGTGGATCGGGGTCCTTCTCGGAGTTGAAGAAGATAGAGCAAAGCTCCTCGTAGTGCCCAAGAAGAGGTCGGACCACGCGAGGGATCAACCTCTTGGTGACCTCGAGGAGGGCACGCTTGCCATCCTGAGGCGAAGCCCGTCCCGAGGCATCAACCCAACGCCGCGCGGGTGAATTTGGAGAGGTCAACGATGCCAAAGTCGAGAAGAGAATAACGTTGAAGATGGCGTTGACCTCCTTCGTCGCGTCCGCCAGATCAAAAAGAGCGGCGTTGGTGGGGTCCTTCTGCTCGAACGCGCGCTGTAAGGACTTCACAATGGACGTCCAGAGCGTGTTGCGGTTCGACTCATCGCCTCGGAAGGTCTCGTCCTTGGAGCCCAAGGCGTCACGAGAGATCCTCTTGATGATGTCCACGTCCCAAGTGGAATATTGGATGGCCGTAGCACGAGTCCGGTCCGCAGCCGTGAGGGCAACACCGGGAGAATCCGGTGTCGGCCTATAACGAGAGCCGACGTCGCGTGAAAAAATCGTGTCTAGTCTAATGCGGTTGTTGGCCCCCAAGGGAGGCGTGACGTGAGAATTTACACTCATATTGAAGATCCAGTAGGTGGGAGCGTCGGGGTGGAGGGCCGATGTCGGAGAATACAGAAAAGTGATGGTCGAGAGCAAGGCTCAACATCGGATGCATTTTCCGGTATCGAGAGTGCACGATATTAGTAATTTCAGTATCGATTGATATCAATATTACAACAACCGAGATTGATTGATACTGATATTCACTAACCCTTCATCGATCAATACTAATCATGCATATTTTTCCATATCCCAAATCGAGCAATAACGATACTTACAGCTAGACGTACAATATTCGATAACAGGTTGATTATGACACAACATCACTTGTGAATATCGATACCATCGATGCAGCCGATACTTTAAGCAAAACAGGGGGATTTTCCCCTTTACATACAGGTTACGTAATTTTTTAGGCGAGGTTTGTCCAGGCTATGCTATTCTACCCTACTCATGGCTAGGAGGAGGAGGTCAAGGGCAAGGCTCTACTACTCTGTTCACAACATACTGCAGTTCTCACGGGTACACAAACGTTCCACATAGTGTTGATAGAGGCCATCATGAAGTGCTCCAACGTGCCCTCGGTCACAGCCTTGCGCAGGTCGCCATGCAGGATACCACACCCACTGAAAATACGCTCAACCCCAGTACCCCACCCGTGGTTGCAGGATTTCCCAGAACTGACGGGTCATGAACCACAGCTTGGGAAACTAAGGCTGATTTGTGTTTTTGCCACCAATCATTGGGATCGACAGACGGAGCAGCATCCGGCAGGGCCAAGTACTTTGTAAACTTTGAAATTTGAAATCTGGGCTCTGGCGCTATCGTGGGCCCAGGGCGGGATGGTGAATTTCGCCAATGCCGATTATCGATACCCTTGATTAATCGATACAGCCAAATTTCACTGTGGAATCGAGCAATTGCGATTTTCGGCCCGGCACAATCGAGCAATGTCGATATTTCATGAAGCCATCGCGATCAATACCGATATCAGACGCTATTGCATCGATCAATACTAATGGTGCAAAAAATTGCAAATCTGGAATCGATCGATACCAATGTTCACGATTAATCGATTGTATCGACTATCGGAACTATCGATGTTGAGCCTTGGTCGAGAGCCGTAAGATGCAGTGTCGGAGCGGATAATTAAGGAAGCCGTACCTGTGAAATTGTAAGATCGTAACGCGACGGCCAAGGAAACTCACGACAAAAATTGATCAAGTTCTAGTCGAGTGAAATCCAACGCGGACAATACAAAATAATCCCAGCAGGTAGGCGCACGCTGCGGCGATACCAAATCAATCCGCCCGTAAACTAGCTCTCGACCGCAACTGCGAAAATCACGACATCAAATTTGGGCCCCCAACGCCCCACCAAGCGGAGTGGCTTAGCCACTCATGCAATCAAAAGTAGTGGAAGGTGCCTGGCGCACCATAACCTGTGGGATATATAGTGCTGACTATATATTGAGGTGGTGATAACTCAGAATGCTTACACTTAAGATAACATAAGAAGTGAAGTTAGATTGAGTGTCGCTCGGCTTAAGCCCGAAACCCTGAACCTGTGACAGCCGTACTGTACGGAGTACTAGTACAGACAGAGGACTGTGACACATACGGGGTGTCACATCCAGCAAATGAAGTGTCTGCCCCCGATGTGGATTTAAATGAAGTGTTTGCCCCAAGGATGGATTTTGGACGCGACGGCGCGCCATTTTGAACGCGAGCTCGCGTCCTCCGAGCGCTGAGCGCCGCGCCAACGCTTGGCGTCTGGTGGAAAATCGGGCGCTGCGCCAACGCCCGGACACGATGGCGGCTCCGTCTCGTATGAGCTCGCGCCGTGCTGGCGTCAACGCGAGACCCTCTACT